ACTTCCGGCTGGTATCGTCTTAGGGTCCTCACGAACCCACTAGAGGGGGGGAGTGATCTGTAGCGTCACACACTCCCCAAAATCAATAGCCTAGGGTTTGACGACTTCGACATTGATGCTGACCTTGATAGTTTAACTTGACTCGCTAAGCTGAAGGCACCCGGTCAAGCATCCTCGCCATTTGACACGCTGTCGTGTTACGTTGCACTGCTAGTATTCCACTCTCTAGCCAGTTAGTTGGAACGCATCAGTATTTTGGCACAACCATCCAAATATACTATTCCATCCGACTACGCTATCGTGTTCTTCCTTGATCCCGTATTCGTGGGTATATAACAAGCCCGAATAATTAGTGATTGGTCTTTGCGTCTGTCAAGTTCGCACCAGGACAAATCCTAAAATCTGATACTGTATCACGTTTGAGGTCCAGGTTCATGAACAAATGATGGGTGCTGAAATAGTAATAATGGTGGTGATGATCATAATGTTGTTAGTTGCTGACGTAAAGGTTGAATTATGGCAAAAAGGGGTTACGTGAGGTTTTCAACTCATTTATGAAGTGAACATAGATTAGAAAGCGGTAAGTACGTTAATAAACAATCAAAGGATTTGGTGAGAGAACATAAAATTGTGAATGATAGAAGAAATATAGAAGTCGATGTACTGTCAGCGGCTCACCAAGCAAAGGTGGCAACAGAGGCACGACAAATTTCTTTCTCACACATAATTATGATTTAGTCATGCATATTACAACGCTTGCGTGTTGCATTGCAGGCGGAATCACACCATTCTGTACAAATTTCTTCCTACCCGTGCAGGTGATTTTGAAAGCCAAGTAGGTTATGATGCTGTGGCTAGTGTCTGGTGCTCGAATTTCGCACTTCCGATGGATCCACTTTCACCCCTCGCAGCGTGGAGGGGTAATTTTATGTCACCCATCTGAAAGGAATGCCCGCCGAACGGCCAACAAACCTGGCTCCAAGGGAGCAGATGAACTGATAAACACAGATGGAAGTGGTCAGATGCAGAAGCTTATCTTTCGAGTTGTGCACATAAAAAAGAAAGCAGTTTTTCAGTTGCTTATCAGTCTTAAGCCTGAAAAATCCCCTAGTTCCCGCGGTTTGCAATCTAGTTTATCTTCGCTAGCGGATACTGTTGCCGAGCCAGCCACTGATCTTTTCGGTATGTCCTTATCTTGGATTCCCCGCCATGGAGACCACAAGAAAAGGGTCTTCAGACTAGACACCTGTTTAACAAACCACATCACGGGAGAATATTGGTTCTGATCGGTGGCTGAGAATTGCTAGTAGACGACATGCTCATAGGCTTCAGCGAGGCTTCCGATTAGGTGTCGCATGCAAAATTACTTGGAGAGCTCTCCTTCCTCGGGTTGCGCTCCACATTGCAAGCCTGAACAAGGGAATTTCTGTACGATAGAAGGCAAGGAGTGAGGTTTTATCGGACACTGTCGAGGTGGGAACCTGCGAGGTGTAGAGTTCCCTAAGATACAATCTTTGTTCCCCCCTTTTTGCCATACAACATCGAATAACCGCAAATGTTCGACTTCTAGTTGCTGCCATTCACAGATGATGTGGGAGTTTAGAGAGCCATGCGGAGTGGTGCTGACAGTTTTGCTCTTCCAGTGGATATAAGTGAACTAGTAGCTCGACTCAAACATTGGTGTCCGGAAGTTAATTCAGGTGAAAGTGCAATAATACATTTTCGTCATTGTGATTATTCCGTTGATGGCACACCATTACTACCGGTCTTCCAATTAAAAGACTTGAGTATAATGATAAGGCATGAGTTGGAAAATTCCGTACACTACAATGTGGCTGCAGTGAAAGGCCTCCGTGTATTATGGTCCCTTCACAGAGCTTCCAAATGGTTTGATGAGGAAATGTCTACATAGATTAAACCTTGCTTGAAATGCTGCATTCATACAGACAATTCTGGTAGTAGAAGGGATACTGATGCACACTAGTGTGTTCAAACAATAGGTAACGAAATTGTGGCTGGCCCTTTTAATCTGTCCTGTGAGGAACGTTTAGATCGACTAAATTTAATCCCGTTGTAGGAAACGGGGTGATCTAATGCTGATATTTCCTATCTTTAACGGTGACTTAGGTACTGATATGTCCCATCTTTTCCCTCCTGTTTGGATTCATTACCTCGAAGCCATCGCAGGAAAATCCAGACTGCTATCTAACCAACTTGTGAAAATGTGCTTTTCTCTCATCAAGCTGGCAACGGCTGAAACTTCACACCTCAGCAGATACTATCGGTTGCTTCGACTGACGTATTCAATGCGGAACTACATCTACACATAGATACCTACTGCAAGGATAAACAAAGAACATCTGGCCTACCGTCCGTACTACTGAGAACTGGACATATTGGCGCACTTTCCAAACGTGTGTTCAAAGCAGTAAGACTTCACGGTTAAGTTGTTTTTCATGTATTATGTCCTTTTGTTCATCTCAACTTACTGTATTTCATTTCTATGAGGCTAACATATTTTTGTGTTTAAAATGATTCATAAATCAGGGTATTTAGCGTCCCTATGGCACTAAGACTGTTCTGATATCTAGTTAAGTTTACTTCTGAAACAGGAAGTTTTGATGATACCAGGATACTGAATCACATCACAAGCCTATCATTCCTGAGCTTCTTGAATTTTGGTAGTGGAACAAAGTTATAGGCTTACGGTTCGGGGAAATCTCTCATTTAACGCAGCTTTTAGTTTACGGAGAAATTAAATGTCGTATTAATTAATTTTGAAGTACAACAGGTGTGGTAGCAACGCTGATTAAGCATCCAGGAGTTGTTACATTCTCTTTTTTATCTTACTGTTTGACTACATAATCCCGTTTTTTAAATAGCTATTATTCACTGAAATAACACGTTAAGAATCTCCGTGATTTCGACAGTCACAGGTAATGACCACTGATTGGTTATATTTTTTTCCCAAGCAACTATTGGCAGAACAATTGAGAACACCATGCTTGCTGTCATGGAAAGGCTGTACATCTCCGAAGACGCTCGAACAATCATGTGTTTAAGTTAAATATCCAGTACGGTCATGAACAAACAATGTTGTGACTTGTTGAATGCTGTTTACCGAACGAGCTCTTCATTGTATCTGTTTTTTGCAAGAAGTTACTGTCGTCAGTTAAAGTCATTGCTAACGTATATCCTGGGATTAGCGTTTCATCCCGAATTAGTAACCGTGTTAAAACCGCAAATTTATGTGTTGTCCATAAGGGTCCATAAGGGTTGTGTTACCAATACCATTCGGAAGACATACCACTGCGTGGTTGCCTTTCCAATCAGCTGCACGATCCTGTGTCGAGAAGAGTTAGTGGGGTGTTAAATATGCACCAAAAACTAATGCTTTGGAAACAAACTTGTCACGCGAAGTTGCAGAGCTGCGTTATTTCACTACCTAAGCATGCAGGTGTTTTTGTTAACCCTTGTATTTTAGGCTTACTACTGACCCTCCTTTGGAGTCCGAACAATAGTACTGAAGCACTTCTGGTTTCAAATCCCATTCTGTTAATTCTGTCAACCAGGTATTATCATATGCCTTCACGCAGCTATTTTATTTCATGTCGTAGTAAATAAGTAGATACTGGAGTGTTGCATTTCATAACTACACGTAATACTACTTTCCAGTACCATCCATCTACTGTCATCGGATTTTGTAACCAACTGATTTTCTACAACGAATTTATCTGATACACTTGTCATTATGTCTAATGCCTAGTTTTAAGTATCTTAAGTTTTGTATAACCCTTCCTCAAAATGCTTTTAAAGGGTTTTTGGCTCGCTAAGATCGTGGTGAGTAGCCTCCATGAGAAATTTACCAAAATACCAGAGTGGCATGTCTGTACCGAAGTTTCAATTTGTCAGTAGCGTTTAAAACAATAAATCAGTAGGTGAACAAATGGCTGTAATGCGTTCACTTAGTTTCTAAAAAAAGAAATCAATTATCATATACTCACGTTGTATATTTTTGGATAAACTGTCTTACAGCTATCACATTCAGTACATCGTTAGTAGTTTGCTGTTGCTCCAAGACTGATGCAAAGATTTTGAGGACGAGGAACACCATGGTTACAAATACTTATGTTTGTTTTTGACAATTCGATTTAGCGGTCTTCTCTCCAGTTGATGTTGCGAAGCAGGTGTGAATCAGTGCATTTCTGTCTTTGTTTGACCTTACTTATACTTCAACCGTAGTCTTATTTTTAATGTTAAGAATGGTTCTGTGCATAATACGCCGTAAGTTCTTTCAAGGGAAGCTTACCAACAAGAGGTGGACGTATAAGCTCACATTGTAGTGCTGCGGTTGAGTCTAAGACTGCAACAGTATAGTAAGATGGCATGAATGGAAATCAAATGATAATAAAATAAAAGTTAATACGACTTACAGTTTTAAAGATGTTAAAAAGTAAATGCATCCACACCTCCATGACTGATTTTCGACCATGTTGCCGAGTCTTCAACCACTGGTACCTAACATATTGACATCCATACTTCTGCACTTTAAACTGGCTGTCGACTGAGACACATGTACACAAACATTGCATCAAAAGCAAATTCGGTCAAATATACATCATAAGTAATCGCAAACCGTTCACCTCCAGTGATTATTCTTCCAGAGTAAGATTTCATTCCTACTGGTTAACAGCACTCAAAGACAACAGAGGTCTCTTGGCCAAAACTTACGATAAGTGAAAACCTGACAAGCAAATATGATCGGATAGAACTAGATACTGAAACTTGAGTCTTGATTTCATCATTAACAAGTAAGATCACATAGGTTTTGCAACTGACTATTTATGATTTGATCTTACCTTTAAAATTGTTTGCCCCTTTGAGTGAACCCACTGGTATTTTGATCTCCATAAACGTTTTTTTTGAGAAAATGGTCGAACTTTACGCTTTTCTTATTATCGTCAGGCATTTAACGCGTGTTGTAACCAGCTGATCTTACGATGATTCCTCGCCTTGGCATTTGTAGAACGGGTATTGAAAGATGTATTAAACCATGTGCTTCTGGGTATCATAAAAATGTCATAGACCATTATGAAAACCCTCGTAACGTGGGTTCACTTGACAAGAAAGATAAATCTGTTGGTACTGGTCTTGTTGGTGCACCGGCTTGTGGAGATGTTATGAAACTTCAAATAAAGGTGAGGTGTGTTCAAAAATGAGCACTTTCCTGCTGATTTGACTGTGGTTCTGTTATTGGTAACTGATTTATATCGTAGCAGTTCGTTTTATTCATTCCATAACATCTTTTTGCTAGTGAATCCGGATAACGTAACTAAGGAGCTGTCTAACTAAATTGATCAAACTACCATGCACTTTTGTCTAATGTTCGTATCAGTTCAATGCCAAATAGACATTAAGTACAATCACAGACAGCACAAAAACAAATCAGATAAAGTTATCACCTACGTGCAACATATTGAGAATCCAATAAAAGTAAAGTACACAACAACATGTCATTGATATTAGTGGATTAGTAAGGCGGTAGAAAACAAGTTAAAAGAGGAAAAACTGTGCAGAACCGAAATATTTCTAAGTTGATTAATTGCCGCATTCACTGGTGTGTGTGTGTGTGTATATATATGTGTATGCTTTCAGCAGGAAACTTGCTGAAGTTGTGCAGGATTTATATTGCAATATCCGTAAGAAGATGGTATTTCAGTGTTATTACAAAATGTAATATGACAGTAATGCCGCTTCCTGAACACATTGAATACTATGTTCTTATGCGCACACTTTTCCTACTGAGTCCCATTCAATATTTATACAGAACTTTTGATACGTCTCATTTATTACACTTAACTCCTATGCTTTTCTTTGTCATTGTCTACCTTCTGATTAATTTTACTGTTTTTCACTTGCTGCAATTACTGTTTAGAAACATGAGGACATGAATTGGTGTTATATTTTAGGATGTCTTCATCTTAGTTCGTTGCTGTGAAACGAAGCCATTGCTTTATTGTTGTGACCAAACATCTTACTTATGTGCCTATAGAATATCAAGCTGTTGTAGCTTTGGTTCTGTACTACATTTTTAAGCTGAAAATAAAACATATTTTCGATCGTTTCGAACATACCCAAGGCTATAATACAGAGAAAGTGGCTCGTTGGCTTGGCCAGTCGATTTCTAATCAGAAGGTCCGAGTTTGATCCCTATCCCATGAGGGTTTTGGAATCTAGGTTGCAACACTAACAGCCACAAAACAAATTTCGTTCATAGCCTATTGTACGAACCAGGTTGTTGAGTTGCATTGTATTGCAAGAAGTTGAAAGCCATGTAACGAGGAAAAGCATCAGATCACGATAGTCTGACACCAGAGTTACTCAAAGGAAGTGACCCAGGCTTTTTGATTGAAGTAACTGAAATATTAGCTCCCTTATCGAAGTCAGATTTCACCTCTAACCAGTCTCAACCATTGATTGTCTTGGCTTTCAAGAAATTAAAAAATTGCCTTGTGATAACCACGATGGAATCAATTTGATGAGTATAGTGTCCAGGATTTCAGGTTCTCTAATTCTTTTATCACCCTACTAGAGCTCGCGAACAAAACCACATAGACCTTAGATCTTTTCGTGATTGTATCAACCACGTCTTTATTCTTGACAAGATCTTGAGACAGACATACTTATCAGCACTGAACACAGTTGTATTTCCTGACTTGAAGAGATGGCATTCGACCATATCAGTCGAAAAGCCTTTAACCGAAAGAAATGCCATATTGGTATATTACCCTACTATAGGCTTTATACTAAGACACCTATGGTCATGTTACGCCACAGTTAGAATATCAGGTCAGTTGGTTACATCGATTGATGTCCGTCAGGGATGTCCACTCCTTCCATTTTTTACTTAACTTATGCAGGTCTGTTTTCTCTCGTATTACATGTAATGATCGATACTCGGGAGGTTTCTCAGTCAGCTTAAAACAAACAGTTAATATTATCCTGTTAGGTGCAGACATTGAAGAAATGTAGTCTTTTGATTTTTTTCGTATACGTTTCCCACCTGTGCAATGTAAAATGATACTTCTGAAATAGTCTGTATCGACTATTTATTTAACGGTTGAAAGTAAAGTACTGAAATGCGTTGATCCCTTCACGTACTTGGAGAGTTACATCAACCCAAATAGATTAGCTGTTGACGAAATTTCAGATCGAATAAAAAAACCCGCTTGGCATTTGCCAACTTAAGCCACCTGTGGTGTTGAGATATGTCACTAAATATCAAGGTATGAAATGCAGCAATCCGCTTTGTCCTATTGTATGACTGAGATGTAGTCGTTAGGGTTAAAAGGTATAAATAGGTTGCAGGTTTTGACCACACCTGACTTCCTGACATTGTTCTTGTTTTAGGATCACTATGTGTAGTGTTGAGCTTGGACGGGGATTACTAGACAAGGAAGGTTAATCAGTTGAAGTTATGAACCTTCAACCATTAAGATGGCGTAGAAATGTGTTGTGCATGCAAAGCTTCCACCTGCCTTGACTTGCAGTTGCAGTATGGAGTTACTTTGTTCCCTATGGACTTTCCGTCTACGCGCTGCTATGGAGTGTAACCATCTGAACTTTACTGTTTGAGTGGGTATTTGGGAATGCTTGGAATAGATTTCTAACCTCCCAAACGAGAACCGTTGCTTCATGACTTATATACGTTGATACCTCGTCGGAAAATAATGGGTGAAGTGATTGAGTGCATTGACCACTTCATTCATCTCAGAATTTGCATCATCCCCGATGACTCAGTGGTCGTTGGAGTGTCAACACAAAGAGAAAAAATTCGACTAACTTTTTCCAACTCCCTCCGCTGGTGAGATCAGTTAGATGTCCTAATACTGATTGTCTTTTGAATGTGCTACACAAGAGTCCACTCTGTTGTACCATATATTTGTAAAATATATTTATAAAGGATAAATAAGAGGACGTATTGTATGTTTAGAAATTGTTTCTTTCGTAACGTTACCTCGTGGAAATAATACGTGAGCAATAAGATGTGACGAAGTCTTAGGTAAAAGATGATAGCCAATTAATAAAGTTGTAATCCCTCAGCTGAGGTAGTCAAGACATGTGCATGCATAGACACTGTCTGCCCGGTGTGTAATGTTTGTTTAAGTAGATTAATATAGGAAAAACGTTGCGTAACAAAACCGAGACACACCAGTCCACGAGATTTTTGACAGTTGCTGCGTGCCGTGTAGAAAAATTTAGACTTTCGGTTGCGATTGACGTGACAACTGAAATCGGCTGTTGGAGGCTCCAGGTGATATTGTTTACAATCGATATCTACGATGCGAATGCACCCGACCGATAGCTGCTACCTTGACGTGGTGGTCGGGCTTGCATATCACAATGACCCAACGAGCTATGCTGGTGGAACGCTTGTTCCCTCGAGGTCCTACCATACCAGAAAGGTCTGTTGGGTAGTGGTTAGACGAAAAGCAGTTACCGTTATAGTGTAAATTGCTACACTATGATGGGGGTCTGAGGGCGAAGTCGTACTGCTGCTAGCTGGATGGGGTGTGACAGCAGTAAGGTGTTTCCCTTGGATGACCAGCAGTGCCAAGCTGATGCTGCCTTCTCAGTGGAAGGGGGGGTTAGAAAAGGTCGGCCCCAAAAATAACACACTCCACCACGCCCCACGGTCTGCCGGGCCGGCGGTGTTGGTTCACTTGTCGTTTCCTTTCGCTCATCCGGCCCCAAAAATACAAAAATTCAAAATAATCATACTCAAAAGGCTGGGTGTGACAGGCCTCAAGCAGATGTCCGATGGGCTCTGCGGTCACACAAATCTCTTTCAGGTACCTTAAGAAGAAATAGCCTTCCACGGTGTGGGCAGCCGGGAAGTGTCAACCGCCCTCACAACTCTGTCAGCACCCAAGTTTCTTCTGACTGCTATCCTCCTCCTCCATCATTACCTTCTAATCTTCCTTCACGTCTCTTAATTAATGATGCTGCATCATCTTCAATTTCTCCTACCTCTGCAGCCTTCGACAACGATCTGAGTCCACAGAACAGCGTCCCTGGTCTCCTTAAACCACGCTCCAAATTACATATTGGAGCCTTCAATGTCCGCACCCTCCGTCAAATTGGCCAACAGGCTTCGTTGGCAAAGACTCTAGCAACTCGAGGCATGGATGTGTGCTGTGTTTGTGAGACACGCATACAGGACCCAAGTGTGGTTATTCACCTGACCTCTCCTGACCAATCTGGTGAATCTGCAAAATTCACCCTTCGAGTTTCTGGAGATTCGATAGCTAGCTCTCGTGGTCTTGCAGGTGTAGGTATAGCATTAAGCACCAGGGCAGAAAACTCACTACTAGACTGGATCCCAGTTGATAGTCGCCTCTGCGCTATGAGGCTGAACGGCACAGTGAGAACTAAAAGGAATAGTGAGACTCGCCGTTGTCTCTTTGTAATCTCTGCTTACGCACCCACTGACTGTAGTTCGGATGAAGTGAAGGACGAGTTCTACCATAAACTGTCTAACCTCCTCTCGAAAGCCAAACGTTCGGACGTAGTGGTTGTTGCAGGTGACCTCAACGCACAGGTGGGTAGACTGAGTGAGGCAGAAAGGCACTTAGGTGGCACTTTCGGAATCCCAGCTGAACGTACAGATAACGGTGATCGCCTATTACAACTATGCTCAGATAACCGCCTATTTTTAGCCAGCACAAATTTCAGACATAAAGAAAGGCACTGTCTGACCTGGCGTCCACCGAGCTCGACTCAGCGATGGACACAGATAGACCACATTGCTATTAGTCATCGCTGGAGAGGATCGGTGGAAGACTGCCGCTCCTTCTGGAGTACGTGTTTGGACAGCGATCATGCGTTGGTCCGAGCACGTATATGCCTGCGTCTCAATGGACGTAGAAAAAATTTGGCAACAAAACCACTACGAGTTCTGCTGGACAACGAAAACACCAAAGCCGTGTTCAGTGAGAAGTTGGCTAGGCAGTTATCGGAACAAAAGACTGTCACTCATCCAGAAGAAGCTTGGTGCCATCTTCAGTCTACTGTAAAAGCAGCACTGGAGACTGTAGCCGACTCCAAGATAATGGCTAAAAAGAGCCAGTGGATATCAGCAGCTTCTTCCAAACTAATGGATGCACGTGAATGCATCCCTGCAGGCTCTGAGTACAATGAAGAGCGAGCGCAACTTAAAAATAAACTGACGAAAAGTCTGCGCAACGATCGTGAACAGTGGTGGGCAGCAAAGGCTAAAGAGATGGAAAAGGCAGCGGCGATCGGTAACAGTAGACAGTTATTTAGACTTATTAAGGAGACTGGGGGGAAATGGTCAACAACAGTTAGTGAGGTTATAGCGGAGAAGGACGGATCGGCGATTCACTCGCAGGGAAGGCGACTGGGACGATGGGCAGAACACTTTGAGGAACAGTTTAACTGGCCTCCAGCCACCATTGCGCTGCCCGCTATCCAGTCGGACCCTGAATGGGACATAGAGACAGGTCCCCCAACACTAGAAGAAGTTGAGAAAGCGGTAGGTAGCCTGAAACGGGGAAGGGCAGCAGGACCAGACGGACTACCTGCTGAGGTATACAAGAATGGTGGTAGAGTTCTCTTAGTCAGGCTAACGGAAGTGTTAGCCAGTATATGGGAATCAAATACGATCCCCTCCGACTGGTCTAAGTCACTCATCATCCCAGTCTTCAAGAAAGGCGAGAAGTCCTCTTGTGATAACCACAGAGGAATCAGCCTGACAAACATAGTGTCTAAGATCCTAAGTTCTATAATTCTCCGACGCCTGAGTGGAGCTCGGGAACAGCAAGCCCGAGAAAACCAGGCAGGCTTTAGACCTGGCCGTGGATGTATCGACCAAATATTCACACTGCGCCAGGTCCTGGAACATAGGCATGCTTACAGACGCCCGACAATAGCTGTATTTCTCGACCTGAAGGCGGCATTTGACTCCGTTGATCGAGAAGTCTTATGGCAGTGTCTGTCACTGAAAGGCGTGCCTAGTAAGTACATCACCTTATTGAAAGCTCTCTACTCGAACACTTGTGGGCATGTTAGAGCCTATGGTGAGTTGTCCAGGGAGCTATACTCATCAAGTGGTGTCCGTCAAGGATGCCCACTATCCCCATTCTTATTTAATTTTATCATAGATATTCTTATGGAGGTTTCCCTCTCGTCACCTAATTACAAAGACGTTGACCGGATCACAGGTGAATTTTCCTTAGATCTAGAATATGCAGATGACATAGTCCTGTTAGGTGAAGACGCTGACAAGATGCAGAGTCTTCTGAACACTTTGAGTGGGAATTTGAGAATGTTTGGGATGCGATTTTCACCACCCAAATGCAAATTTTTGCTCCAGGACTGGTCTTCAGCGGTACCGCGGTTAACAATAGAGAGTGAAGTGGTTGAGTGTGTTGACCACTTCACTTACCTGGGAAGTAGGATCAACCCGGTGGGTTAGTTGCCGATGAGATTTCTGCACGGATACAAAAGGCTCGATTGGCTTTTGCCAATTTGCGCCACCTATGGCGCCGCCGTGATATTCGTTTGTCTATTAAGGGTCGCGTGTACTGCACAGCAGTCCGCTCTGTTCTACTGTATGGCTGTGAAACATGGCCATTGAAAGTGGAAGACATGAGAAGGTTACAGGTATTTGACCACCGTTGCCTTCGTAGTATAGGACGTATTCCGTGGTGTCACCATGTGAGTAATGCAGAAGTTAGGTGTAGAGTTTTAGGGAGAAGAGGTAAGTCAGTCGACGAGGTTGTGAACCTTCATCGACTGAGATGGTTGGGACACGTACTACGTATGCCTAGTCACCGATTGCCTCGTCACACAATGTTGGCTGAGGTGGGTTCAGGCTGGAAAAAGGCCCGAGGTGGCCAGACTAAAACATGGCACCAATGTATGAAGTCTCTGACTGTTGGTTTAAGCCATGTAGGACGATGCAGACTAGGTGGTTGGGGTCCACGGGACAAGAGGAACCAGTGGTTGGAGACCCTAGGTGATATGGCTCAGAACCGAAGTCAGTGGCGCAGATGTATACACACATTATCCTCATCTTAACAACGCTATACCGAATCTCACTATTTTGTCACTCCTCTTTCCTTTCTTCTCGTACTTTATATTTCTTTTGACTGCATTCACTTATCTTCATCCTTCACCTCACTACCTTTTACTTGATGTGCTGATATGAGGTGTGGCAACTCGGACCGTTACGCAGTAATGCCTGGTCCTATGTTGATAATGATGATGATGATGCGAATGCATACACACCTTATCTTCAACATTGTGTCTAATTTGGTGTCACATGTTCTATCCAGCTGTTTTTTGCATATTGCTGTGAAGTTTCGGAGCCTGAGATGACGCGATTGTGCCATATTTTTCGTTGACTTATCATCTATCCCATCTTCATCGCAATCGTTATAATGTCACATTTCTTTGTTTTCTGTACTTCTCATTCACCGCTTCCTATGTCTTTCTGAGACTTTTAATTGCATTGTTTCTCTTTCGCTCATTTTGTCACCTTATGTCTTCATATGCTGATGTCATGTGTGGAGGCTTTGACCTTTACTCAGTAACATTAGACTCCAGTATGATATTTATTGTCTGGTTGACTGCATTGCAAGAATGGTATGAAGTCATATCATTTGGAAAATATTAAGGGTAAGTGGTTGTTGTTAGGGGACTAAATCTCATTCTCCACTAACTTATTCTTATGAGCATGGCACAGAAATATACTGACATCCTTTATTGTGTATTGGTTCGTGCTTTTAATTAAGTCAACTGTAGTTGTTAGGTTATCAAGCAAGTAATGTAGCTAGGAAGTTCCTTTGCAAGTTATTTTTCAAAACTGAGCTTATAGATCCAGCTATTGATATGATCGTAACCCTGGATATGGCTGGTTCGTAACTCGCATTTTCGTTAGACCTTCAGTCATCACCCCACATCGTAAATGCCAGTCTTCTAAACCAAAAGTGTAAATATCACTGGTCTCAGTGGCCGTAGGTTACATTATTCTAATTAAGAAGGCTATACATAGCTGCTTGTATTAGATAAGTATTAAAATCCAAACTGATATGTCGACTAACTCTGTTTCAGCACTATTTTTCGATCTGTTTTTTTACGTGAAATATCACTCCTTTTATATTCAGGTAGATGAAAATGGAAAAATAATCGATGCAAAGTTCAAAACGTTTGGTTGTGGATCAGCTATCGCATCTAGCTCACTGGCAACTGAATGGGTGAAAGGTAAAACAATTGAAGAAGCTGAGAAGATAAAAAACAGTGATATAGCGAAAGAGTTGAAACTCCCACCTGTCAAGTTACATTGTTCGAGTAAGTCTACGTTAATCACAGTCTATAATCCGTAGCAGTTGTCGTATGTTTTTTTAAACGGCTGTCACACAAACTGTCAATATAATATGGGATGTAAGATTTTGATGCAAACATATCAAGAGTCTGTTTGGATTCGTATCTTTCTACTGTTTTAAAACGCGGCATCAGGAACCAAATGCACTGCTATACTAGGTTCTACATTGTCCCAGTCAATTATACTTCATCAACCAACCACGGCTATGTGTACAACTGTCTCTATGGTAGTCTACAAATCCTCAGAACAATATATTCTCCTAGAGAGGTTGTTAATGTGGCGAACACTTACGTGCTGCAATAGCTCGGCGAATAGGCATTATATTTCACAGCTGTTTTCCAGAAAATAACTATTGGGGGAACTCCACTCGTTGGTGATATTTATTGCTAGGACCCCTTTTTTGTTACCTTGGAATTCTCCATAACAATGCAGAGCAAATTTACAGAGCTTATATGAATCAGTGTTGCACGAGAGTGATACATTTACTGAATTTGTGCATTGTAATTTGTCAACTCATAGAACTAATCTTCAGTAGTCAGTTATACTTCTTATTTTTGCATATCTATTCAGTTTCTTATTGACACATTGTATTTCCTAGTGTAGTTAAAAGTTTGGACTAATGTGAAGTAAGCTTTCATTGGAATTCGTCAGTAAGTAGCGCAGATATAGTCAATAATGTACCCTCAAAAATTATCGTTCTTTTTATTCGACGTGGTTATCATAATCTTATGAAAAGTTGTGCTCAGATTAAAAAAAATATGAGGGTGACAATTTTTACAAAGAATTACACTGTTATTCTTATTGGCGTGCGCTGTATATTCAATGATCCAGATTTAAAGCTGTTGTCTTTATTCCACTTTGATTCTTGTCTTCAGGTCCAACTAAACTTCTAGTATTTTGACGTCATGATGAATCAGACAATCTTGAGATACAAAATTATAAGGCTGACAAAGACAGTTGAATGTTTGAGTTCACTAAAATAATTAGTATTTTCACTAGAGGCAGTTGACTGTATTTAAGATGATGAGTGGGCTTTAGAATATACATTGACCGGTAGCGTGAGAGAAACCAATTCCATATTGTTCACCCCTGAGTGCTTTCGGATTCTATCGATCACTTTTGCGATGTAGTCATCAAGCTGGGAGGGTCAGCATCATGGTGCACACTGATAGGTGTTAGTTGGTTGGGTGGAGTCGGCAGAAAACCTTGGACCTGGGTTTCGTGCTTTTTGACACTCGTGAGCAAGGCGTATCTGGAACCTCAGCGGAACTGATGTCCGCTTGAGATTCGAACACGCGTCACCCAGTTTTGTAGTCAGTGACGTTACAACTGAGCTATTCGGGCCGCTTTGAAATATACATATACTATGTAATATCGGAGATTAATTGAACGATTACTCACTGATACTGTTCACTGACTTTGTGAAAAGCTATTGAGAACAAAGATTTCTGAAACACATGTGTTTACCGTATTAACTTGGATCAGTAGCCTTTTGAATGAAGCCTAATATCGTATGAGTCTAAGGTTATCTTTGAAGACCATCTGTCTTGGGTACCAAAAGTATTGTTTTGCTGTAATTTAGTCAGCTGATATTTTTATCATCAGGTAATATAACCATCGCATCAAAAATTTATTGAGGCATCTAATTGTAATTATCTATTAGCTTCGTTTTTATTTGCACCGATGATACATTACAGTGTTTCTAAAATAGCTAAAATGTAGTACCATTCAGTTGGGTCATGTATATGTTCAGTTTTATTTAATGCATTAATTTCTGCATGGGAACACTATCTAACTTCTATCCGAAATGCTCCTGTTTAGCGTCCAAGAAAAGTTTACTCTCAATTAGCGAAACACTAAATTTTTGATAAACATTACACTGTCGGTGTCATCCCTTATTGAAGGACACATGCAAGTTACTCGCAAAGTGCATTACTGAACAAGTAAAATGTTTGTCTTGCTCTGTCACTAAGAGATGCCGCTGCAATCTCGCACATATAATAATGCAACTCAACAGAAACGTGTTGTTTCATGTAATAAGCTTGCTGACCACAAATATTGTATGACAGAAATACTTGTGAAAAATCTAGTGTAGTGATATATATATATATATATATATATATATATATATATATATATATATATATATATATATATATATATATAAACCTGTCTTTCTGCTTCTATATTGATGTCTAGTGCTTGCTGAGGATGCTATCAAAGCTGCGATCAAAGATTATCAGAAAAAGTCAGAGTGATTTCAACTTGAAGATGGAAATTACTTTCAATCATTCGGCATCATCATACCTCATCATATTTAGATATACTTATTTCTGCACCACTTTGGATGTATTCCTATACAGTTTATAATTTGATTAATGCAAAAACATACTGATGATAAAATACATTTTATTTTTACATATTTGTTGTTTATGGTTGTACGGTAGATTGTTTGTAGTTGTGCTTGCTTTATTTTTCGCCTAATATTACTCTACCTTGTGAAACTTCAAAGCAATATCGTATTAATTACTTGAAAAGTATTGGTGGAAGTTCTGATAAGCTTGTGATTTGTTGAAGACTCGGACGCTTATTGTTTAGTACCATACACAGGTTTTATCTCTAAAGTACCTGAGCAATGACTACTGACCTCTCCTTCGGGACATTATTTACACGTTTCACTCCTTTGGATGCTACTAAGAATTATGACAACTTGAAGTAATGCACTTGTATCCTATATTATTTGTATGGCTCGGTTGCTGATTTCACATTTGCTTTAGATTATTATTATTCGAACAAAAACTTGGTGCTATATATATATATATATATATATATATATACGAAGGAACCTGTAATCTCTTTGTCTCCCACTTTTCAATGGTCATGTCTCACAGTCGTATAGCAGGACAGAAGGAATTGCAGCTCAGCATAATCGTCCTTTAACAGGTAGTGTAATATCTCGGCAGATGAATGCCAAAATGGCCCTCTGTTTCCGAGCTGAGATTTTGCCAGCAACCAAACCGTTTTGTTTGATCCAACTCCCCCAAATAAGTGAAGCGGTCGACACATTCCACCACTTCGCTCTTCATCCTTCAACTAGAAGTAGTTGGAGATAAGTCCTGAAGCATCATCTACATTTGACCTATGTGAGACGACTGGCGGCCAAACATGCTCAGATTTCTGCTAAACGCGTTCACAAAACCCTGCGTCTTGTCAGCGTCTTCACTCAGCGCAACAATATCATCTGTAGGCTCCAAGTCAACTAAATATCTTTCAGGTAGTAGATCAATCCACGTCAGACATACCTAAGGTTATGTTCATTAGTAAGTCCATGACGAAACTAAATAGGACCGCTGACGGTGTGCATCCCTGGCGGACTCCACTAGTTGTCGTCTTTTTAGCGAGAACAATCCATAAGCCTAATGTGAGTTTCAGCAGATAACTTTGACTAGCAATATGTACTTTATTGGTACTCCCTTCACAGTCAGACACTGCAAAACACTTCACGGTTGGATGAGTCAAACGGCGCCCTCAGGTCAACATATATGTGGAATGTCGGCCGCTGGTAAGTATGCTGATGTTCCAGAACTTGCTGAAGGGTGAAAACAAGATCGACGCGCCCTCGTTCAGGTCTGACACTTACTTGATCTTCTCGAATTTGCTATTCTCAAGCTCTATATGATTATTATTATTATTTGTCCCTTGGGTTCCTAATGGAACATAGAGCTTCAGTAGCACGTCTCCAGTGCACTCTGTTCTCTGCAAACTTTTGAACCTGCCTCCACGACAGTCCACAACCTCTCATTTCTTCCTCACATGATCTCCTACATGTCACACTCACCTCGGACGCCCACTTCATAGCTTCCCATCTGGGTTCCACTCGAGGGCCTGGAGCGTGATGTCCCCAGTCGGCCTTCTCAGTGTATGCCCAATCCATCTCCACTTCCTTCTGCATATTTGTTGAGTGATAGGTTCTTGGTTGGTTCGTTGCCAGAGCTCCTTGTTGCTTATTCTCATTATTCTGGCCGTCTGATCTTCAGTAGCGAGCGTAGGCAGTTGTTGATGAATGTCTGTAGTTTATTGGAAATCCCTTTCATAACGCGCCAAGTCTCTGAACCATACAGAAGCACTGACTTGACGTTGGTGTTGAAAATCCGGATGTTGTTCACGCTTTATGCTGAGTGGAGTGCAGTAGATCTCCACACTGGTTTCAGGTTAATGGACGAAGGCCTGTCTTGCTTTTCCGATCCTGGCTGGCTTTGACGTCATCGTCTGTGCCACCACCGCCTGTAGTTGAAACAGTGCTGCCTAGATAGGTGAAGGAGGTTACTTCCTTTAAGTTTCTCCCATTCATGGTGATTGGAGCTTGTTGTTGTTGGTGGTGGTGGTGGTAGTGTGATTGGGTATTCTTGAAGTCTCATCTTCTGTCTTCTCTACGTTGAC